GTCTCTTTCTGCTCAGTCTTGGCAGTGGCTGTTGTACCTCCAGTAGAAATGGGCCAGAAGAAAATGGAGAGTGAGGGGGCAGGGGGAAGGCCTCCCAGGATCCTCTGTTAACATCTCATTGGTCAGAACCAACATAAGACTACCCCTAGCTGCAAGGGAGGCTGGGTGTCAAGTACTTGCATTTTTCAACCTCTCTGGTAGAGCAAAAACAGGGGTGTTGGGATGGTGCTATGTATAGTGAAAAGACAGGCATGTACATGTATAGTGAAAAGCCCTGATGTGGCTTACAGACTAGAGGCACAATGGCAGGTGACTTCAATGTGTGCTCTTGAGAGAATAAACGTGGGTCCAGGGAGAGAGTCCTGTGAGGTTCAGGGCATTTAGAATCATGCTGCAGGCTTCTCTGAGGAGGTGGCTCTCATACCGAGCCCTGGAGGATGAGAAGGGGCCAGTGATGCTGAAGGCCGGGAGTGGAGGATGGTGAGTACTGAAGGTGGAGGGAAGATCACCTGTAGTGTCTGCATAAGGAGAGTGTTTCCTGAAGACCAGGACAGAAAGCACCAAGGGAGTCCATTCATTGTTTTATTATTTCTTTAATCCTCACCTGAGAATATTGTTCTATTGATTTATTAGATAGAGTGGGAGGGAGGTAGAAAAATAGAGAGAGAAAAACATTCATGTGAAAGAGGCACATTGACTGTTTGCCTCCCTCACAACCCTGACCAGGGCTGAGGATTGAACCTGCAACATAGGTACATGCCTTTTACCAGGAATCAAAAACGTGACTCTTTGGTCCCCTCCCTGATGCTCTAAGCTCTGACCAAACCAGCCAGGGCACTTTCGTTGTTTTACATAAGAGGAGTTGTGGTTTGTATTTCTAGGTTATCTTGGCTGCTATGAATGTGTTTGGACTGGTACTGTGTCAGTGGGGGTCTCCATGCCCTTCACCTTGTGTCCGTATAAAGCTTCTGGGAAACATCAGGACTTCCTCAGGACACGGTGGGATGGTCTTTCCACGCCTACACTTTAATCTCCCAGTTTTTACCCAAATCACTGAAATGCATTCATGCAGTCTCTTATGTCATTTCCCTTATATTTTTCTGCAGATCCAGTTTTGAGCAAGAAAAGGATCATCTCAAGCAAACAATTCTGCTGCTTGAGGAGCGGTCATAGGCCAGCAGTGTGGCCTGCATGAAGGACATGGAGAAAGAGAACAAAGTCCTCCACCAGATGGTGACAGAAAACAGCAGCAAACTCGGCAAGCTGGAGTGTGAGAAGCAGTGCCTGCACCGGTACCTGGAGCAGGTGGAGACGGTGAAGCGGGTAGAGGAGCTGGAGAAGGAGCTGCACCAGCTGGAGAAGGAAAATGAGAAGCTGGCCCAGAAGTTCACCTACATGACAACAACAGCCACTGAGAAGATCGGTGCCCTGGAGCTTGAGAACCGGGGCCCGACGCTGGAGAACCAGGAGGAGGAGAAGCACCTGGAAAACTCTATGAAACACCCTGCGGGGATGTTGGTTGCTGGTCAGAGACACAAGGAAGCCACCATGGAACTGCTCCAAGGAAGGACCGGGCCCTTAAGCTGTAATGGAACGTGAGTTGGCCGCCCAGCCTAGGTCCCTCAGTGAGAGACCGTGCTACTCATAGTCCCCGTGATACACCATCACTGGAAAGGACACCGGATGTATAATCTGCTGACTTTTCCATGTCTAGCTAGACACTTCTTGATCTGTCCTGGCAAGTCCTACAAGCTTCTGGGTTTCCTTGAGCATTTCTTTTTTTTTTTTTTATCCTCACCCGAGGATATTTTTCCATTTTTTGTACAGATAGAGTGGGAGGGAGAGAGAGGAAGGGAGAGAGAGAGAGAAACATCGACGTGAAGGGACACATCGAGTGGCTGCCACCCGTACGACCAACCAGGGCCGGGGACAAACTGCAACCGAAGTACGTGCCCTTAGCGGGAACTGAACCCGGGTCTCTCCGGACCGCAGGCCGACGCTCTAACCGCTGAGCCAAACTGGCCAGCGCTCCTTGAGCATTTCTAACATACAGGGACATACTCACATTTTCCCACAGGGACTTTCCATGTGCCTGCCCATCAGCGTGGCCAGTAACTTCTATGCTGGATCTCTGTTTCCCTACCATTGTGCATCAGTGCTCTGTGTCAGGGGTTGGCAAGCCACGGCCTGGCACCTACTTCTGTGGATAAGGTTTTATTGGAACACAGACATGCCCTTGGTTTCCCTATCATGTAGGGCAGGGCTAAGTGGTTGAGGTAGAAACCACATGGCTGGCACACCCAAAATGTTTGCTATCTAGCCGTTTTCAGAAAAATGTTTGCTAGCGTATCTTTGAACTCCTGATTTTATTTCACTCTCCCAATCATGGTATGGAGTAGATAGAGATAGCACATGAGAAAGCTGAGACAGACTTTGAGACTTGACCAAAGTCCTATGCTAGTGAGGTAACCCATGTAATCTTTTTTTGTTTGTTTTTTAATCCTCACCTGAGGACATTTTTCCATTTTTTGTTCAGGTAGAGTGGGAGGGAGAGAGGGGAACAGAGAGCGAGAGAGAAACATTGACATGAAAGGGACACATTGAGCAACCAGGGCCAGGGACAAACTGCAACCAAGGTATGCGCCCTTAGCGGGAACCGAGCCCGGGTCTCTCTGGACCGCAGGCCGACGCTCCAACCGCTGAGCCAAACCGGCCAGGGCAACCCATGTAATCTTGTACCCCACGTATCCTGGCTCCTGGCCAAGTTGGTGGCATATTGTAGGAGGTCTTTTTCAGCCTCCTGGAAGATGGATCACCTCATAGGCCGCAGGCTTGGACTCATACCCTGTGCGAAAAGCTCTCCAAAATGCCCCCTCAGGTGTTCACCAGAAACAAAAGAAAGCATCAGAGAGAGAAAGGATGAGGTGGCTCCGGGTCCTGCTTGCCTTTGCCTCACACTCATACGTCCGATTCTATGCAGAATCTCATTTATGTGCATTCTTTTCGGTCTTGAAAGCATATACCCTCCAAAATAGGTTTGCTTGTTTGTTTTCCAATTTTGTTGATTGTTTTTCCCAAGAGAGAAAATGTTACTTCTCTCACCTGGTAGACCCTGGCTTTGGACCCCAAAGCATCCACTTCTGAGTGTTCCTTATGACTCAAGTCCCGTTGATCAGTGAACGCTGTGTGATGGCCTCATGCTTTTTCCTAGAATGCAGCTCTGCAGGCTTGGAAGCAGCTGCTCAAAGATCAGCTGCAGCACTTGGAGACCCAGAACATGGCCTTCAGCAGTCAGATCCTGACGCTGCAGAAGCAGAACACTCTCCTGTAGGAGCACAGCACCTCCCTGCAGGAGTACACCACCACACTGCTCACCCCGAAGGCCCAGCTGCAGGTGAGGTGGGGTGTGGGCCTGGTCCAGAGACCAGCCATGAGTGCGCTGACCCCTCATAATAAGCAGGACAAAGCATGGGAGAGTTGGGGGCTCTGCTCTGTTCTGTTTTCAGTAGGCTCATTGTAAACAGTGGTGCTCATCCTCAGAGTCCTGAAGGTGGTGATAGTTGATGAGCCCTGTTCTGTGAGTGAGCATATGGCTGCAGTCCTATCTGTTTCCCAGAGTCTCTTCCTTGAGATGTTATTAGCAATCACTTGGAAAAGAGATTCTAATATTGTAGAACCTTGCAGAGACTTTTTAAAGCTATGATGGATGTTTAATCTCCACGAGGAAAATAGGGTATGAAGTGGCATCCAGGCTGTCGAGAGCATCTAACCAAGCTAGTGTTCTGGGCCACATAGTTTAGGATATTCATTATAGTTATAGTTATGGTTATAGATTGTGGGAACATGAGAGATCATTAATTAATGCAGTTTCTGAGAAAAGTGTTTGAAACTATGTAACTTAGGGGTCAGAGACAATACAGAGGAAACCACTTGGCAAAGAGGTTGGGATTTGTTCTATTGAAATAAAATAGGATATTGCTTTGTAGTTTTGTTTTCTTGTTCTATATTTGTCTGGTTTTGGTATCAGGGTAATTCTGGCCTCAGAATGAATTAGGATGAATTCCTTCCTCTTCAATATTTTGGCAGTTTCGGATGCTGTTGGGTGGGTGTTCTATGCATTGGTTGGTACTGCTGTTCAGGTATTCTATGTCTGTACTGATTTTTTGTTTACTTTAAAGAATTTTTGTTCTTATTAGTTTAGTAGAGAGGAAGGAAGACAGAGAGAGAGAGAGAGAGAAAGAGAGAGAGATTGATCTGCTGCTTCCTGCATGGCCCCCCACACTGGAGTTGGAGTCTGCAACCTGGACATGTGCTCTGACAGGGAATTGAACTGGCAACCTTCTGGTGCTTGGGATGACACTCAACCACTGAGCCACACTGGCCAGCTGTCTACCTTTTTTTTTCAAATAGGCTTTTACAAATAGTCAAATAGGGTACCCAAGGAGCTTATCCAGAACAAGGACGTAATTTGCCCCAAAAGATCACATGTGTGGAGAGGGGCAAAGGACTAAATTTAGCACGACATGATAGTCTGTATGCCATGGGTCCCTTCCCAGAGCAGTCCCTTAAGTTCTGGTAGCACTGTCCTCAGCACAGCTGGGTTTTGCCTGCCTTGGGGATATTGTTATTTTGGTCTTGGCACCTAACTGTGTGTGGGGATGTGGGGATGAAGAGTCTGTGGTTCCCTGGGGCCTGCACGCAGTGAGGCATCATCTACTCCCCCATCCCCCACCCCCGGCAGGTGGAAAATTCCACTCTGAAATCCCAGAGTGCCTTGCTCACCAAGCAGTACACGCTGCTCAAGAACAAACAGAAGGCCAATGAGATGGAGCTTGAGCACCTGCAGGAGCAGCAGGAGCAGTTGAAGAAGGACTACAAGGCCCTGCAGCAGGACCACAGGCACGCTCCACAAGCACCAGTCCTCAGAGTATGAGGCCCCCACCCATGAGCACAGCTGCCTGAAAACAGTGCATGGACACCTGGAGCTGAAGCACAAGGCACTCAGGAAGAAGTGCGTGTAGGCGGCTGGCAGGGTGACTGAGGGGCCACTCTGGGCTCCTGTCCCCCCTTCCTTCTGGCCCCTCGTGTTTCCTTTGGACCCACTGTTTCACAGTGAGGAGACGTAAATCAAGTCACTCAGCAATGTGGGGTTTTTGAAGCTGGAGACTGAGGGACAGGAGGGTCCTCAAGGGGACAATGACATGCATGCTAATCTCGGCTCAGGGAAACCACATCATCATTGGAGTCCTTGTTTTCCTGAGCATTCCTATCCCCTCTTCCTTTTCTCTCCAAACCAAGAACAGGAGAGGGAAGTTCACCACAGCTGTGAAGTTACAGTGACGTGCCTTCCCTAGCCTCCCAGGCCTTTTCTGTGTCCAAATCTAAACGTCTTCTTCCTTTTTTTAATTTTTAAATTTGGAAACTGTTGAATACATAGAAATACATGGAATAGTTTAGTGAAAGAATCATGTCCCATGCCAGGTGTCAGCACTGACCAACACTCTGCCCTTCCCATTTCACCTTTACCTCCTACTGTCCACTGTGTACTCCTTTTTTTAAAGGAGAAACTGATGTACCTTGAAATGCATAAATCTTTCTTTCTTCTTTCTTTCTTTCTTTCTTTCTCTTTCTTTCTTTCTTTCTTTCTTTCTTTCTTTCTTTCTTTCTTTCTTTCTTTCTTTCTTTCTTTCTTTCCCTCTCTGTCTCTCTCCCCTTCCTTCTTCCCTCCCTTCCTTCCTCCCTCCCTTCCTTCCTTCCTTCCTTCCTTCCTTCCTTCCTTCCTTCCTTCCTTCCTTCCTTCCTTCCTTCCTTCCTTCCTTTTTGTTACAGATATTTCTCCTTTTTCCCCCACTGACACTCTCCTCCATGCTCTTGTCCCTCTACCACCACCTTTAAAGTATTATTTTCTGGGTCCATTGGTTATGGATATAAGCATATAAGTTTTTTGGTTTATCTCTTCCTGCCTTCCACCCCTTCTCCCTCTGAGGTTTGTCAGTCTGTTCCCTACTTCCACGTCTCTGAGTTTATTTCGTTCATCAGCTTATTTGGTTCATTATATTCCATAACCAAATTAGTGATATCATGTGATATTTGAAATGCATTAATCTTGAATTTGCATTCTTGACAAATCAGGGCTTTGTGTGCATGCAGTCAGCCAACACCTCCTGAGCTCCTGCCCTGGCAGATCCCTGATTGCTCCAGGCTCCTGGGCAGGTGCAACAGAATCCAGAGCTTGGGGGAGGTGTGATGAGCACAGGAGTCTAATGCAGGGGAGGGAGGAAGAGATGCATCTAAAGAGAGGCTCCCCAATACTTGGAGCAGCACAGGAGGGAGCTGTTGTCTACTTCTTGTGCTTGTGAGATGTTTCTGCTGACAGTATTTCCCTTGATCCAGCCTCAGCAGCAGGCTAAGCAAACACTCAGTCTTCAGCAGGAGGAGCTGAGTTGCAGGGAGTTTCCATCACAGAGATCCAGGGAGGTCGGTGAAGTTCAGAAAACAGTCCTGTTGTCCCCAGCAGGCTAACAGAGGAAGGCTGCTTTGATAAGGTCTGCAAGAGACCATGGAGACACATCAGGTGGGAGGAGAAGGACTCAGATTTAGAGCTGGCGGAGAACCCCCAGAGCTGGCCCAACGTCTGACCAAGATGCCATCTACCTTTACTCTGCTGTGCAGCCCCACTCTCTGCCATTCCCTTCAGCTCTGCAGGGAGAAGCCGCTCATGGGAGATTTTGCAGTCTTCTGGGTTGTCTGTTCCCAGGGCGTGTGTTTCCCTCCAACAGGCACAAGGACATGCTAAAACATAAGGTGGACCTGGAGGAGATGGACACAGTCTTGAACACTGGGTGTGAGGCTGGGAAGCAGGAGCAGAGGATGAATGCCATTGCCACCGATGAGAACCAGAGGCTGTGGAATGAGCTGGACAGGTAACCACCACTGCCCCCAGGCAGCAGCATGTGCCAGGATGTCACTCAGACCAAGTCACTCAGAACCAGCTGAGCTAAGCTCAAGTGAGTGTCCTGGTAATAGTGTAATTTTTATGAACCCTGTCATGTTAACAGCTGGTGGTAATAAGGTAAAAGGGACTCCAGCTAGCGGGTGGGATGGAAGGACTGGTGACACCTGGGACGGCGTATTGTCTGCACTCGGGTAACCTCACCTTTCACACCTGTGATGGGGATTGTGTCGGGCCCTGGCACCTTCCGTCTCTAACACCAGCGACCCCGTGGAGGAGATACAGGCCATCCTCATCATCCATGCAGTCCCTATTTGTGAGCTCACCTACTCTCTGAGTACACTTCTTACCCCAGTCGGTACCTTGGCCCTGCGTGGACGCGCCCAGAGTGTGAGATGTTGGAGGTGCCGATGCGCATGTTTGCAGCTGAGGATAAACACAGCCTTTGACTCTGGCCTTGTTTCAGCGCTCCTTCTGCAAACCAGCAGCTTTTCATGGACAATTAGTGCCATGGTTTGCTTTCTAAATGTATGATTTTTGGTGGCAATTTTGCTGTTTGAAATGGCCTCCCAGTGGAATGCTGAAGTACTTTCTAGTGTTCCCTAGGGCAGGGATGCGCTGGGCCTCACAGAGAATATCCGTGTGTCAGATGAGGTTCATTGAGGCACGAGCTGTGGTGCTGTTGGCTGTGAGGATGTTGCATAAGGTGTCTTGATGTCTCCATCAATTGACAGAAATCTGGCCAGAGACTGACAGGAAACTTTGGGAAGAGTTTCAGTGTACACTAAATCGGTGTTCATGGTGACATGCCATGAATAATTTGAGTTGATTGAACCCTTACTATCCCCCCACCCCACCTTTTTTTTTAAATCAGAAGAGGAAATAGGCTCAAAGAGATTAAATAACTTGTTCAAGTCACTGCTCCTAGTTGGTGGCACAATTAGGATTTTAATCCAGGTCTGGTCTCAACCCAGAGGCATGACCTGAATTTGCTTCCTTCCCACAGCCTTGTTATGTTTTGTTGTTGTTAATATGTTTTTCTATTGATTTTTAGACAGAGTGGAAGGGAGGGAGGGAGAGAGAGAGAGAGAAACATCAATGTGAGAGAGACACATGGATTGGATACCTGCCACACGACCCCAACCAGGGCCAGGATTGAACCTGCAACCCAGGTACATGTCCCTGACCAGGAATTGAGCTCAAGACTTTTTGGTCCAAGGGCTTATGCTGTAACCACTGAGCAAAACCGGCCTGGGACCACACCCTTTACATGTATTGGGGGCTGCTACTCCTGTGGCCATGCAGGTCAAGCACGTGGGGAAGGAATATGTGCAATAGGCCAGACTGACCCAGAGAACACACCCTCTGCAGGTTGTCAGCTAGAAAGCAGGCCCAGGGCAGCCAGGTCAACTTTGTTTATGCTTTTATCTTCCCAGAAGCTAGTCATCTGAATGTCAGTGTGAATGTTTAAGATTTTGAGGTGTTGATAAACGAATTATGTTTTTAAAAAACGTGTGTGGGCCAAACTAGACATATTTGTGTTCAAATTCAGTCCATGAACCTTTGGCATTTGAGGTTTCTGATTTAAATTTTCCCAAAGACATCAGTTGGGTAATGATGATGATGATAATTTAAGTGAATTTTAATAGAGGCTCTGTAGAAGTGGTGTGTGAGCCTGCCTGTTCTGTCTCTACCAGCCCAAACCCCAATGGACACAGTTTGAAAACTGTTCGTTTTGTTCAACCCCACATTTACACATGAGAAAAACAGAGGCCCAGAGAGGTTGCGGGTTTAATGAAGGATGCACAGCTGGGAAAGAGCCTGGGAGTGCTCCTCAGCCCTGACTCTATGGCTCTGCACCCCCAGGGTCAATTTCCTGACCCAGCAGCTGAAGGGGGAGCGCGAGGAGCTGCACACCCACATCAAGGTGCTGGAATCCTCGCTGCACCACTCGCAGCTGGAGCTGAATGACTGGCAGGCTCAGTTCGACCAGCTGAAGGAGCAGCACCAGAGCCTGGACTACCACTGCGAGGTGAGGTCTGTGGCTGGTGGGCCTGGGGACACCACGTCATGTACCGTGGCCTGGGCTGACAGCCTTGGGTTCAGCCAGGTGGGATGGGTCCTCATTGGCATCTATGCTCTAAGACTGTGTGAAGGTCACACTGAGGCCCAAGGAAGCTCGAGGCATTGAAGGAGATGAACACCTTGGCTGGTAGGGATGTGTTTGAAAAGACCTTTCATCAGACCTTTGCTTCTTGCAAGGTCCGGGCAGTGCATGAACTCAGGCGTGTCCTGTTTTATTTCCATCCTCTCGGCTGGGCACTTTGCTCTGTGCTAACCTGCGTCATCCATTTAATTCTCACAATGATCATGTGAGCTGGGGTTCCCATCCTCGCTCCTCTTAACTAGCGGGTTGGAACCCAGATATCTGAAGGCAAAGATTGAGACTTTCCTACTACATAAACCTCGGCCAACCTCAGCCCGATTTCAGATCGAGCTCCCCCCCCGCCCCCCCCAACCTGATTATATATGTCTGTGAACCAAGGATAGCTTTTACAGGTTTCAATGGCTGGGAAAAAACCAATGGAAAAATAATATTTGGTGGCAAGTGAAAATGCTAGAAATTTATGTGTTAGTGTAGGGTTTTTGTGTATGTTTAACACAGCCACACTCATGCATGTACCTTTCATTTTGGGTACTTTCCTGCTGTAATAACAGAGTTGGACAGCTGCAACAGAGACCAGGGTCCTGCCTGGAAAGTCTAGACTACCTACTATCTGGCTCTTTACAGAGTCACTGTGCCAACCCTCTTCTGGAGCAGAGATGTCCCATAGGAATGGAATATAGGCCACCCCATGCAACGCAAAATTTTCTAGTATCCACATTAAAAAAGTAAAAGGAAACAGGTGAGATTAATTTAAATGACATATTCTATTTGGCCCTTGTCTCTAAAATATCACATGTAACCCCAGAAGCATGTTAATGAGATAGTTTCCATTATTTTTAGGTTGTTATATAAGTCCTCAGACTCTGTTATACATTTGGCACTTTTGGCACGTGTCAGCCAGGACGGGCTGTGTGTCCAGTGCTCAGCAGTCACCCATGGCCCGTGGCTGCTTGATTGGATGGTGCACTTGCAGAAGGCTTAGTCATCCCTGTGTCATTGGCCGTATTGGTCCTTTAGACTGGTGTAGATAATACCGAAACGGCCATCTTTGTGCACAGGGATTTTTCTTCTTTTGGAAATAGATTCCCAGCAGTGGATTCACAGGGGCACATAGTATTTGAGATACTGTCGATCTGTGTTTTAGCTGCTCTCTGGTCCGAAGGAGAACCTGGAGAAAGAAAATCATCAACTCATGGGCCAGATCAATATGTTGAACCAGCAGAACCAGGAGCAGCACATGGAGAGCAAGAAGCAGTACCCAGAGGAACAGAAGCAACACATGTAAGAGGTGTGGGCTGGGGACACCTGTGGACAAAGGGGTCCTGGTTCCCAGCTCCAGGCCTACACTGTGATATTCTGTGTAGAGAACCCCTAGGCATGTTGGTGTCCTGAGGGCATGGGGACAGACTGTTTTAGCAAATCACCTTTCTCTCATTTTCCCAGGAATGATTCTAGAATTCTGCAATAGTGGTGGTTGGCTTTTGTTTGCTTTTCAAAGACGCTGCTCACTGCCAGATGCTTCTTAATCTGCTTTTGGAATTAAGTTCACTTTAGAAAATATGACAGTGGTAAAGAGAAAGGACTCAGATGGAAGGCTGAGCTTTCTCTGTCTGTGTCTGTATTTGTCTGAATGGGCTGGACAGTGTGTTGTTGGTAGACCGTGTTTGTTTCCCTCTGTTGGTGTTTACTCATCCTGGCTTTGGTGTAGGCCCAGTGCCGTGCACAGAACCAGTTCCCTGGTCTCCAGGAACTAGTAGGGGTGATGAGACGTGAGCAGAGCTCTGTGCACACCAGACAGATGTTGAGGAGCGCCATGGGGGTGCAGAAGGAAGTGTAGTGCTGGGAGTTAGGGTTCTGCTGCTCACACTGATGGGGTGAAGTCTAGCCATTGGAGGGAAGGGACCTGAAGGGGGAGCATGGCCTTGTGTGGGTGCAGGGAAGGTGCAGGGAGCACCAGGAGGGAAGGCTGGAGGAAGCAGGGCTCAGCCCTGGAAGCCTTCCATGCCCCTGCCCAGCCAATGAGTCAGATTCACTGGGAAGTGAATATTTAAGGGATTCTGGGCTTCAGGGCTTAGGAAGTTGCCAGAAATAAGGTCAGGAGGAAGAGCCTTGGGGTTGGAAACTTTGTGTTTGGAAGTCAGGTAAACTGAGATGCATTGTGGGTCCAGGATGGTCTTCATCCCTCCAAGCTGTGCTGATGGGACTATCCTTCCTCTCATCAGGAATGACTGGTCAGTGTAAGATGGTGGGAGATGGTCCCAGAACTACCGGGGCACTGTCCTGGCTTCCGGGGTAATGATACTGCTTCATTCTTCTCCCAATTCCTCTGCTCATTGACAAGTGGCCTGACCCCTACCAAAGGACAGTTTAGATGGAAAGCCACACTGTCATTTCAGTGTAGAAATGACTGTTGCCTTCCGTTGGCCCTCTATAATCTAGCTGATAAAAATCACCAGCAGTGGGTGGACAGGTACAGAGTAAAAGAGCAGGGGCCTGCTGCCAAAAGGGATGATTTGATGATGGTTTTGCATTAGATGGTGTCTGCAAGAGGCCAAGGAGTGGGCAAGCTTCCTGAGCCTGCTCTGAGTGGAGCACCTTCCCCAGTCCAGCCCTGCCCTGGGGAGGGGGGGTGCCTGCCCTCTGTGAGTTTGTGCAGCTTCAGGGGTGCCGAACCTAGACATGAAAGCACTCTAGCATAAGGCCAAGCAGCACAGATGCAAATTAAAACACCTCACACCTGTCAGAATGGCCGCCATCAACAAATCATCAAACAAGGGTGTGGAGAAAAGGGGACTCTAGTACACTGCTGGTGGGAATGCAGACTGATGCAGCCACTATGGAAAACAATATGGTGCTACCTCAAAAAATTAAAAATTGAGCTGCCATTTGATCCAGTGATCCCACTTCTAGGAATATACCCTAAGAAGCCTGAAACACCAATCAGGAAGAATATATGTACCCCTATGTTCATAGCAGCACTATTTACAATAGCTAAGATCTAAAACAGCCCAAGTGTCCACCAGTAGACGAATGGATAAAAATGTTGTGGTACATATACACAATGGAGTACTATGCAGCTGTAAGAAAGAAAGGTCTCTTATCCTTTGGGACGACATGGAGGGACTTGGAAAGTATTATCCTAAGTGAAATAAGCCAAGCAGAAAAAGACAAATTCCACATGATCTCACTTATATATGGAATATAATGAACATAACAGTCTGAGGTATACGGTAGACCCAGAAACATGGAAGTAGGGCACAGACTGACATCCCTCAGAAGAGGGGGTGGGGGGGTTGGAAGAGATAAACCACAGAACTTATATGCATGTATACATCACCAATAGCCATGGACAACAAGGCAGGAGATGGGGTGGGGGTGGGGTGGGGAGGCGTGTGTCAGTGGGGTAACAAAGGAGAAACATCTGTAACAAAAAAATAAATAAAAAAATTTAAAAAAAATCTGCCTTTAAAATTATTCCTAAAATTACATTCTCTTAATTAGCACATTATTTAATAAGGATAATAGTGAAAATCATAACTAAACTAAAACTTATAATAAAACCAGATATATTTAAAGAAAACCTTTTATTAAAGAAAACAGATATATGTCCCAAAATTCAGGAGTAAGTCAAAAGTCTCAGAAGAGTCCCCCTACTATCCTGAGGTCACACAACTACTACTGGCAGAGACAGAATTCCAGTCAGGCCTCTGTGACTCGAAAACCAGTGCTCACAGTCCCTGATGTCCCTGTGTCTTCCATTATTCCTTTACTATACATGAAGGTATAATACATATTCTAAAGCATATTTTAAATACTTTTTTCCCTTTTATAGATTTGAGGGAGAGAGGAAGTGAGAGGGAGAGAGAGATAGAAACATCAATAAGAGAGAACATTAATTGGCCGCCTTCTGTACCCCCACTGGGTACGTGGCCCACAACCTGGGCTTGTGCCCTTACCAGGAATTGAACCAGCGACCTCTTGGTGCATGGCTCAACACTCAACCAGTGAGCTACACTGGCCCTTAAGAATGTCTCATAATATTTGATATAATAGCAATGCACAGGAACAACACCTGGTATTTTTATTTTTATTTTTTGCTGGACTCACAGTTGTCACTATACTCATAAAATAACCCTTAAACTCATTTGTGTCTTGTTTCACCTCAACAACATTCATTTAAGTTCTTGAAATCAGTTTCAAAGTTTTTAGGTTAAAGAAATCAATAATTGTTCATCCACCTACACAAACTAGCATGTAGTAGGAAATAACCAGCAATAATGTTATATAAGCCTCTGTGACACTTTCTAAAACAATGTGGTTTGGAGTATTCTGTTTTCTAACAGGAAGCTTGGACATTGTCCATTGATATACTTTTAAATTTATTTTTAAAATCCTCACCTAAGGATATGTATATTTTTACTGATTTTAGAGAGGATGAGGGAGAGAGCAAGAGAGTAAAATATCAGTTGGTTTCCTCCGGAGGAATCGCACCTGAAACCTTTTGGTGCACAGGATGATGTTCCAGATGAACTACCCAGCCAGGGCCCCTGACATACCTTTTCTGTTGCAAAGACAAATTTTTACTTGAAAACAGTCAAAAGGCAGCAATATTTTCTAGATCATTCAAAGGTTTTAAAACAATTTTTTATGTTAAACAAAAGGACTGTAGTAAAATTTTAAAAATTCCCCTTTATATTATGAAAAGAGGTCGCTGGTTCAATGCTGGGTCAGGTCACATGCCCAGATTGTAGGCCTAATCCTCAGTAGGGGCATGCAGGAGGAGGCCAATCGATGTTCTCTCTCATTGATATTTCTGTCTCTCTCTCTCTTCCTTTCTCTAACATTAATAATGGAAAAAATTAAATTGCTAAAAAAAGTCATGGCTTTTTTGCCTCAATGGGCTTGTAACCACTAGGTTGAATTTGACAGATGTCAGTACTGGGTATATTCATAGCTAAATTCTGAACTCAGTCATGGTGGGTTTCATAGCCTTGGTTTTCTGATACAATTGCTCCAATATTTTT